CGCTGCGCTAGTTTAACGGACAATTGCGCTGTCATGCAATACGGTACATAAATGAAATTTACATCCTTTTTTCCCACAAATTGAGCTTTCTTTCGGTGGTATTTGATCGCCTGTGCGGTTTTTTTTTTTTTGCGCTATAAAAAAAAAAGGCTAAAATTTTGAGGAGAAAAAAAAAAAACAATATTTTGGACTTTTTGCTATAAAACATGTCCAGTAAAAAAAAAAAAGCAAAAATCAAATTTAGTCATAAATTTCTGCCAAAATGCATTCTGCGACATGTTTTGGTAAAAAAAAAAAAAACCCAATACGTGTAAATTAATTGGTTTACGTGAAAGTTATAGCGTTTACAGATGGCGGGAAAGATACAGGGATTTTTAGGGTTTTTTTTATACTGATAATGGCGGCGATCAGCGAATTATGGCGGCGATCAGGGACTTATGGCAGCGACTAGCGACTTATGGCGGGACTGCGGCGGACATTTTGACATTGGGGGGTACTGACTTGGGGTCACTGACATCCCCAAAAACACTAATACAGTGATCAGTGCAAAAAAAAAAAACTGTACTAATGGCAATGGGGAGGAAGGGGTTAACTTTATTTTGCAGGGAAGGGTTATAGGAGTGAGGGGAGTGTTTTACTAGGGGGCGGGGTGTGTGCTGGGCGGGACAAGGCTGATCGAGAAAGAAAAACTGTTCTTTCTCGATCAGCTCATCCTCGAGCTGACAGGGAAGTGACAGACAGCACAGCTACTGCAGCTGTGCTCTCTGTCACTGTTTGCCGCCGATCGCCGGGACATAGCCGCTAAGGAGCGGCTGTGACCCGGCGACTCACATCTGTGGCAGAGAACCAAGGGACAAATAGGGTGGGCGCGCGCCCCCTATTTGTTTACAAAACACACGTCTTAAAACGTGGTTTTGCCAGTGAGTGCCGCCCTGCCGCCGTATATGTACAGTGGCTGGGCGGCATGCGGTTACGATGGAGACTGGGGGTTAGGTCCGGTAAATATGTCACATTTGCCAGCCCCTTCCTGAATGAACACGAGTGATTGGTACTAATCACTAACTGTGTTCATTCATAAAGGAATCATGTTTTTGTTTTTTTTTTGAAGGGGGTCTCTATCAGGTTGGCTGTATGGGGCCCCGTGGTTTCTAACAGCAGCCCTGGATTCACCCTTTAAATAGTATACCCAAACTATGGTGGGCAGTGCCTTGGAATGGTTTTCTTTTTCTTGTCCTATTGTCCTTCTCTCTTCTAATGATGGTCATCAACCATGTTACTTCCAAAAGCTCAGCCTGAGCCACCGACCTTCAGAGTAATGAGCTGACCCTAAACCAAGATTTGTCACCGTCGTGGTGAACCTCGGCTCCAGGATTCATTGAAGATCCAGCTACAGATCCTCAGGAGAAACATCTGCTGTCTGCAGTGCAGGTACAAGCGTTCCATTAGCCGTGTCCTCCTGCTGATAAAGCGGAAGGTCTTCTGGATGGAGCCGTAATGTGGATATTTCTCTGCAGAGACGATGCTCCAGAGTCCTCGAATCATTTGTAGCTGAAGCCAGAGATATGATTTCATGAGCAGGCTACATAGTTAGCTTTCTTTTGTTTTGTTTTTTTATTTAACTTTATTGCTTTCACATAGGGGGCCATGCCGTCAGGGTGGAAGATAAGGGGGCACCACCAGTCCTCCTGTACGGGGCCCAGGACAGCAGGGAGGTCCAGGCAGCTGGGTGAATCGGATGTGGGCAGGGAGAGTGATCAGCACAGCGGAGGGGCAATTACTGGAACCGATCCCCTGAATGGCTCGCTCTGCAGCAGCTGAAAGCCGGCTTCTCCTCCTCTCCCTCCCGCTGCTGCAAAGAGCCATGCAGGAGATCGGTTCCAGATCCCCCCCCCACACTGCACCCATCACCCTCCATGTGCACCATACATTTCCCTCTGCTGCTTTCACATAGAGGGCCAATCCGTCAGGGCCGTGGATAAGGGGGTACCACCAGTCCTCCTGTACGGGGCCCAGGACAGCAGGGGGGTCCAGGCAGCTGGGTGAATCGGATGTGGGCAGGGAGAGTGATCAGCACAGCGGAGGGGCAATTACTGGAACCGATCCCCTGAATGGCTCGCTCTGCAGCAGCTGAAAGCCGGCTTCTCCTCCTCTCCCTCCCGCTGCTGCAAAGAGCCATGCAGGAGATCGGTTCCAGATCCCCCCCCCACACACTGCACCCATCACCCTCCATGTGCACCATACATTTCCCTCTGCTGCTTTCACATAGAGGGCCAATCCGTCAGGGCCGTGGATAAGGGGGTACCACCAGTCCTCCTGTATGTGGCCAGGACAGCAGGGGGGCCCAGGCAGCTGGGTGAATCGGATGTGGGCAGGGAGGGTGATCAGCACAGCGGAGGGGCAATTACTGGAACCGATCCCCTCCCCCTGAAAGCCGGCTTCTTCTCCTTTCCCTCCTGCTGGCTTTCAGCTGCTGCAGATAGAGAGCCATACAGGGGATCGGTTCCAGTAATTGCCCCTCCGCTGTGCTGATCACTCTCCTTGCCCAAATCCAATTCACCCAGCTGCCTGGGCCCCCCTGCTGTTCTGGGCCCCATACAGGAGGACTGGTGGTATCCCCTTATCCCCGGCCGTGACGGCATGCCCCCCCACTGCACCCATCACCCTCTATGTGCACCATACATTTCCCTCTGCTGCCCGTGCAGTACTGCCGGCTTCCCTCCTCTCCTTCTCAATGGCAGCTGCAATAGGATCTTTCAGGATGGAGAGCAGGAAAGGGCCAGGTAAATATGTCACGTTTACCAGACCCTTCCTTTCCTGAATGAACACAATGAGTGATCGGTAGCAATCACTTACTGTGTTCGTTCATAACTAAGGCATAGTAAACTGTTTTTTTTTTTTAGAGGGCCCTGCCAAGTTGGCTGTATGGGGCCTCATTGCTTCTAACAGCAGCCCTGGTGATCGGTACCAATCACTCGTTGTGTTCATTTATAACTGAAGCATAGTAAACTGTGTTTTGTTTTTTTAGGAGGCCCTGTCAGGTTGGCAGTATGGGGCCTCATGGTTTCTAACAGCAGCCCTGGTGATCGGTACCAATCACTCATTGTGTTCATTTATAACTGAAGAATAAGTAAACTGTGGGGTTTTTCTTTTTTTTAGGGGGCCCTGTCAGGTTGGCTGTATGGGGCCCCATGGTTTTTAACAGCAGCCCTGATGATCGATACCAATCACTCATTGTGTTCATTTATAACTGAAGAATAAGTAAACTGTGGGGTTTTTCTTTTTTTTAGGGGGCCCTGTCAGGTTGGGTGTATGGGGCCCCATGGTTTCTAACAGCAGCCCTGGTGATCAGTACCAATCACTCATTGTGTTCATTCATAACTGAAGCACAGTAAACTGTGTTTTTTTTTTAGGGTGCCCTGTCAGGTTGGCTGTATGGGACCCCATGGTTTCTAACAGCAGCCCTGGTGATCAGTACCAATCACTCATTGTGTACATTCATAACTGAAGCAGAGTAAACTGTTTTTTTTTTGAGGAAGCCCTGTCAGGTTGGCTGTATGGAGCTCCATGGTTTCTAACAGCAGCCCTGGTGATCGGTACCAATCAGTCATTGTGTACATTCATAACTGAAGCATAGTAAACTGTGTTTTGTTTTTTGTTTTTTTGAGAGGGCCCTGTCAGGTTGGCTGTATGGGACCCCATGGTTTCTAACAGCAGCCCTGGTGATCGGTACAAATCACTCATTGTGTTCATTCATAACTGAAGCACAGTAAACTGTGTGCTTTTTTTAGGGTGCCCTGTCAGGTTGGCTGTATGGGGCCCCATGGTTTCTAACAGCAGCCCTGGTGATCAGTACCAATCACTCATTGTGTACATTCATAACTGAAGCATAGTAAACTGTGTTTTGTTTTGTTTTTGTTTGAGAGGGCCCTGTCAGGTTGGCTGTATGGAACCCCATGGTTTCTAACAGCAGTCCTGCGTGCCGTATTTCCTCCAGTTGCAGAGGGAAGAAATTCCGCTTTTAATTAATTTGTTCTGAAAATTCTGGTCGATTCTTCGACCAAAATGAACTAAGGAAGTAAAAATAATAAAGCTCCATTTATCTTCTGATAAGGAAACAGCCAGCCTGCGCCTTGTATGCGATTACATTGATAAGCCGTGTACAAATGGATGTTTTTTAAGGGGGATCAATAAGAGGTCACTCTTCGAAAGGTCAGGAACCATTTTTTTTTTTCCGTCTTGTTGGGTTTTTCAGATAAACGGCCAAGCAAGAAACACATTTTTTATTTTCTGTTTATTGACTGGGGCGTCTGTGTAAACCGCCGGCGTTATCACCACTAATACCAGGGGCTTTAAAAATATATATATAACCTTGAGGAGATCATTGCTTCACCCATGACAACCCACAAACGGCCAATCCACCCAGAACTGATGAGGCCAGTCTGCGGGAAGTGAGAATTAAATTGGAACTACGTACAAAAGTGACAAAGTTGCTGCGATTTGTCACCGGCGTTAACCCTTTCTTTGCCGGAGCCATTTTTGTGGGTTTTTTTACACTTCAGGTCCAGAGACATACCCGGTACCAGTTTTTTTTAGAACCCCTGTAGCATCACCGTAAACTTGCCAAATCATGTCGAACGTCTCTGTGCCGGATCTGCCCAGTTTCACGTTCGTGCTTTGTTCTAAGTAGCTGTCTGTGATGAAACGTGATAACGCACGTGGTCAGAACAGCACCAGTTACACAGCTCTCAATGTACACAGGACAATGTCTTTTGGCGCACTGACTCATGAAGGTCGGTGCTCCCTGTGGATGTCTCGAAACCTTTTGATACCGCCTCATAGCTTGGTGGAGTCGAGACTGATATAGTTACATATCATATTTTTCGCTCCATAAGATGCATTTTTTCCCCCAAAAAAATGGGAGAAAATGTCTGTGTGTCTTATGGAGCAAATATGGAGCAGCCAGCCCAGTATTCCCACCGCCACCATGTTAGAATACTGGGCCGGCCACTCAGCTTTTCTGTGCAGCAGAACCTGCTCCTCGGTCCTACCTGTTCCTCGCTCCAGCGGTATCCTCACCGTCTTCTATCCCCGGCGCCGACATCTTTAGTGTGGGCACCCGACTGTTACAGCTTGCGGTTTCACTGCTGGGCCAAACTGAGCATGTGCAAGAAGCGCTGCACTTTGTGAATGGCCCCGCAATCTCCTGGGACCTGTCACGTGTCCATGACGGGGAGGGAGGACAACTCCACGAAAGTGGGAGCGGATGCCTGTCAAATTCAGGTACCTGCTTCCCCCCCTTCTGCTCCCCAAAGGTCCGCAGTCCCTGGTCGTCTCCCGCACAGTGTCCGCGGTCCTGGTCGTCTCCCGCACAGTGTCCGCGGTCCCTGGTCGTCTCCCGCTCCCGCACCGTGTCCGCAGTCCCTGGTCGTCCCCCGCACCGTGTCCGCAGTCCTGGTCCCTGGTCCCCCCCCGCACCGTGTCCGCAGTCCCTGGTCATCCCCCGCACCGTGTCCGCAGTCTCTGGTCATCCCCCGCACCGTGTCCGCAGTCTCTGGTCATCCCCCGCTCCGTGTCCGCAGTCTCTGGTCATCCCCCGCCCCGTGTCCGCAGTCTCTGGTCATCCCCCGCACCGTGTCCGCAGTCTCTGGTCATCTCCTGTACCGTGTCCGCAGTCTCTGGTCATCCCCCGTTCCGTGTCCGCAGTCTCTAGTCATCCCCCGTACCGTGTCCGCAGTCTCTGGTCATCCCCCGTACCGTGTCCGCAGTCTCTGGTCATCCCCCGTACCGTGTCCGCAGTCTCTGGTCATCCCCCGTACCGTGTCCGCAGTCTCTGGTCATCTCCTGTACTGTGTCTGCAGTCCATTGGTTCAGAATTTTTTTTTTCTTGTTTTCCTCCTCTAAAATCTAGGTGTGTCTTATGGAGCGAATAATACGGTAGTTAGTCTGGCCGAAAAAAAGACAAAAGTCCATCCAGTTCAACCATTTAAAAAAAAAAGTTATAATCCTACACCCACAATTGATCCAGGGGAAGGCAAAACCCAGCAAAGCACAATCCAATTTGCTCCTGCTGGGAAAAAATTCCTTCCTGATCCCCCAAGAGGCAATCGGATATTCCCTGGATCAACTTTACCTATAAATGTTATATCCAGTTATATTCTGTGTATCCAAGAAAGAATCCAGGACTTTTTCAAAGCAATCCACTTGGCAGGATAATATGGATTTCAATAATACAATTAAAATAAAAAGAAGACTGAAAATAACAATAATAATGAAATAATAATTTAAAAAAAACAAACAATAACTCCGCTTTTCGCTTAAAATCCCAGACAGCTGTCTGAATAAAACATCCCAGAAACGTCTAGTTGGATCTCGGCCTGAAATTTCGGTGGCAATCGCTCGACCCGTGCGCTCCGCAGCCTTGGCACAATGCTTCTGATCAGACAGGGAGCTTATGTTATATTCCCAGGACAGATCCGATTTGTCATTTTGTAAAGTGCGGTGCAAAGATTCCGCGTCCTCATTTTTTCCCTCTACAACTTCTTCCTGACAGCCGTAATTGGCCTCACAGAGAATTGTCACACAGTGTTTTTCTCCAGTACTAGAGGACAATCGCGGGTATACTCACCGGCTATTCACGGAATACACCTTCATCTACCAGAGCGCCCGTCTTTTATCTCAGGAGATATAAAACTGCCATTGTGTGACAAGAAATATAAAACTGCCATTGTGTAACAAGAAATATAAAACTGCCATTGTGTAACAAGAAATATAAAACTGCCATTGTGTAACGAGTTTGACAAATAAACGTTACTTAATTCAAACAAAACCTGTCGTTCTAGAAAAAGAATTGTCAGGACCAGGGCTTTATTTCCACAGGTACTCTCCCTTCTGGGTCACTTCTTGTCTCCACCCCCCTACCCACCTCCCGGTAGCACCCGTTTTAGAAAATACAGGCGTATCTCGGTTAAGTAATTTTGGGTTTATGAATGTAAATCCATTGAAAATAATTCCTCACTTTACGAATTGTTTCGCAATATAAAAACGGATTAATTGGTTTTCAATGCATTTACAATTTTTTTTTTTTTTTAAATCATGTCCCTGTACAGTATTTATGCCTTTAAAATGCACTTTGTAAAGCGTTTTGAACAGATAAAACTTTTTTTTTTACTTTTTTCTGACCTCCAGAACGGATTCATTGGTTTTCAAAGCATTTACGAATTTTTTTTAAATCATATCCCTGTACAGTATTTATTCTTTTAAAAAGTGCACTTTATAAAGAGTTTTTAACAGATAAGAAAAAAGTAAAAAAAAACCTGTTTTATCTGTTCAAAACTCTTTATAAAGTGCACTTTTTAAAAGAATAAATACTGTACAGGGACGCGAGTTAAAAAAAAAAATCGTAAATGCATTGAAAACCAATTAATCCGTTCGTATTGCGAAAAAAATTCATAAATGCATTGAAAATCAATTAATCTGTTCCGGAGGTCAGAAAAAAGTAAAAAAAAAAAAAAAAAAAGTTTTATCTCTGGAACGGATTAATTGGTTTTCAATGCATTTACGATTTTTTTTTTAACTCCCGTCCCTGTACAGTATTTATGCCTTTAAAGGGCACTTTATAAAGAGTTTTGAACAGATAAAACAGTTTTTTACTTTTTTCTGACCTCCGGAACTGATTCATTGGTTTTCAATGCATTTACGAATTTTTTTAGCAATCGGAACAGATTCATTGGTTTTCAAAGCATTTACAAATTTTTTTTTTAATCATGTCCCATACAGTATTTATGCCTTTAAAGTGCATTTTATAAAGAGTTTTGCACATATCAAACAGTTTTTTGACTTTTTTCAGAGCTTCAGAACAGATTCATTGGCTTTCAATGCATTTACGAATTGTTTTCGCAATACGTACGGATTAATTGGTTTTCAATGCATTTACAAATTTTTTTTTTAATTATGTTCCTGTACAGTATTTATGCCTTTAAAGTGCACTTTATAAAGAGTTTTTGAAAAGATAAAACTGTTTTTTTGACCTCCAGAACAGATTCATTGGTTATCAAAGCATTTACAAATTTATTTTGCAATACAAAAACGGATTAATTGGTTTTCAATGCATTTACAATTTTTTTTAATCATGTTCCTGTACAGTATTTATGCCTTTAAAGGGCACTTTATAAAGAGTTTTGCACATACAAAACAGTTTTTTGACTTTTTTCAGAGCTTCAGAACAGATTCATTGGTTTTCAATGCATTTACAATTTTTTTTAATCATATCCCTGTACAGTATTTATGCCTTTAAAATGCACTTTGTAAAGAGTTTTGAACAGATAAAACTGTTTTTTGACTTTTTTCTGACCTTCGGAATAGATTAATTGGTTTTCAATGCATTTATGAATTTTTTCGCATTATGAACGGATTCATTGGTTTTCAATGCATTTACACATTTTTTTTAAATCATGTCCCTATACAGTATTTATTCCTTTTAAAGTGCACTTTATAAAGAGTTTTGCACATATAAAACAGTTTGACATTTTTCAGAGCTTCAGAACAAATTCATTGGTTTTCAATGCATTTACGAATTTTTTTCGCAATACGAACGGATTAATTGGTTTTCAATGTATTTACGATTTTTTTTTAAATCATGTCCCTGTACAGTATTTATGCCTTTAAAGTGCACTTTATAAAGAGTTTTGAACAGATAAAACTGTTTTTTTACTTTTTTCTGACCTCCGGAACGGATTCATTGGTTTTCAATGCATTTACAAATTTTTTTTAGCAATCGGAACAGATTCATTGGTTTTCAAAGCATTAACACATTTTTTTTAATCATGTCCCTGTACAGTATTTATGCTTTTAATGTGCACTTTATAAAGAGTTTTGCACATATAAAAAACTGTTTTTTTTACTTTTTTCAGAGCTTCAGAACAGATTCATTATGGTTTTCAATGCATTTACAAATTTTTTTTTTTTTAAATCATGTCCCTGTACAGTATTTATGCCTTTAAAGGCAAATTTGTCTTTATTATTTTTTCATCAAAATCAAACAGAACAAAACAGGAGAAATAATAAAAATATATAAGTAACAGAACAAATGAAAAAAAATAGCACAGATGTAGCGATGAGCCACGGGGATAAGTGAAAATGTTTCCATACAACAGCAAAATGAGTGGATCGACAACACAAATTACAGAGTTATGAAAAAGCATAATTTCCAGGGGGCATCCCCGGGCGAGATGTATGAAACCAAATGAGAAAACTCTGTACAACCACATATATAAATCTGAGCTAAGAAAGAGAGAGAGAGAAAAAAAGGGAAGAAAAAAGAAAAAAACAGTCGTAGAGGTAGTGAAAGATAAGAAGAGAGAGGGTCGGGCAGGGGCGGACTGACCATTTGGAAACTTGGGCACTGCCCGAGGGCCAGGGATCAGTAGGGGGCCCCATGAGATGCCCCGGTACCTTTTTCATAGGCTTTTTTGAGTTTGGGCAAGGGACACGGGGCCCCATGATCCCCTATTGCCCGGGGGCCCCATCAGTTGTCAGTCCGCCCCTGCGGTACCCCCTTATCCATGGCCCTGGAGCCAAGTATCATTTTGTGGTGCTAAGTACTTTGTATGGAATTTCTTGATAATAATAAGAAAAGCAGTAAAATAGATCCCGTGCAGCCAGCTGCAAAAGGCCCTCCCCAGCAACAATAGACCCCCCAGCAACAATAGACCCCCCCCAGCAACAACAGATCCCCCCAGCAACAACAGACCCCCCCAGCAACAACAACAACAACAGACCCCCCCCAGCAACAACAGACCCCTGGAAGCAACAACAGATTTTCCAGCAGCCAGCATCAATAGACTCTCCAGCAGATAGCAACAATAGACGCCTCCCTCAACAGTAGATCCCTTTCAGCAACAATCGACCCCCCAAGAATATGAGCCCCCAGCAACAAAAAACCTCCCCAGCAACCATAGACTGACACACAAAAAGCAGCCAGCAACAATAGAGACCCCTCTGCCGCACAAAAAGCAGCCAACAACCATAGACCCCTCTGCCACAAAAAGCAGCCAGCAACCATAGACCCCTCTGCCGCACAAAGCAGCCAGCAACGATAGACCCCTCTGCCGCACAAAGCAGCCAGCAACCATAGCCCCCTCTGCCACACAAAGCAGCCAGCAACGATAGACCCCTCTGCCAGACAAAGTAGCCAGCAACGATAGACCTCTCTGCCATACAAAGTAGCCAGCAACGATAGACCCCTCTGCCATACAAAGTAGCCAGCAACCATAGACCTCTCTGCCATACAAAGTAGCCAGCAACGATAGACCCCTCTGCCATACAAAGTAGCCAGCAACCATAGACCCTCTGCCATACAAAGTAGCCAGCAACCATAGACCTCTCTGCCACACAAAGCCAACCATAGACCTCTCTGCCACAAAGCAGCCAGCAACCATAGACCCCTCTCTCAACCGTAGATCCCATTCATCAACAATGGACTCCCCAACAACAACAACATACCTCCCCAGCTACAAGGCAGTGACACAAACTGTCCGCTGGGGTGCAGGAGATTAATTCAAGCATCCCTAAATCTCATACATTCTAGCCAGGTGCAACCAGCAACCCCCACACCGCCATAGGCAGATTATACATCGATTACGCCAGAAGATGCAAATCGTTCCTCCTGCTGCTCTCGACTGCTGGGGCCCAAGGGCCACACTTTCAGAGCTGGTTCACACCATAGAAATGCAGTCCAGATGCGTTCCGGATGCGTTTCTGCATGTTTTTGATGCGTTCGGTGCATTTTTGATTCTTTCCGGTTCATTTTTCCCCTCTTTCTATCTTCAATTTAAATAGAGACGTGCATTCCAGTGTGTTTTTGTTGCGTTTTGGTTGCGTTCCGGTGTGTTCTGTGCAGGAAAAATGCAGCTTGTTCTACTTTTTTTGCCGTGTTTTTGATGAGTTTTGGGGGGGGGGGGTTTTTGATTTTTCTTTTACATTTTTCTTGTTGCTAGGCAGATTTAAAATGCACCAAAAACGCCGCAAAAAATGCACTGCATGCTTTTCTGTAGCGTTTCCATTAAGTCTATAGAGCCAAAAATGCAATTTTTTGCATTCAAAAAAGTCCCTGAGGGCCGGTTCACACTATAGAAACGCAGTCCAGATGCATTCTGGATGCATTTTTGCATGCGCAGTTTGTCATGTTCTGGTGCATTTTTAAAGCGTTTTTTATTTGTTTCAGTGCATTATTGACGCGTTCCAGTTTTTATGCATTCCAGTTCATTTTATCCCCCTCTCTTTTTCTTCAATTTAACCCCTCGCCTACCAGGCACTTCTACCCCCTTCCTGCCCAGGCCAATTTCCAGCTTCCAGAACTGTTGCACTTTGAATGACAATTGCACGGCCATGCAGCACTGTACCCCATATGAAATTTTTATCATTTTTTTGAGACAGATAGAGATTTCTTTTGATGGTATTTAATCACCTCGGGGTTTTTATTTTTTTTGCTAAACAAACCAAAAACAACTGAAAATGTAAAAAAAAAAACTTTTAGTTCTTGTTATAAAATTTTGTAAATAAGTGATTTTTTCTCCTTCACTGATGTGCGCTAATGAGGCTGCAGTGATGCGCACTGATAGGCTGCACTGATGAGGAGGCACTGATAGGTGGCACTGATGGGTGGCACTGATGAGGAGGCACTGGTAGGTGGCACTGATGGGCATTGACATGCATCACTGATGGGCACTGAAAGGAAGCACTCATATATGGCACTGATAGGTAGCACTGATAGATGGCACTGTTATGCAGCACTGACTGGCACTGTTAGGCAGCACTGATAGGCAGCACTGACGGGCACTGATAGGCGGCACTGTTGCGCATTGATAGGCAGCACTGACGGGCACTGATAGGCGGCACTGATCTGATGCGCATTGATAGGCGGCACTGACTGACACTGATAGGTGGCACTGATTGGGACATTTTGCACGGGTAGGGGAGCCCATTCATTTGCCCCGTGACACGCAGGGAAGAAGTCCCTGCACTTCTTCCGAAAACGCAGCCCACGCGGGAACCTCGGTTCCCAGTACGGTTGCGTTTTCCAGCACGGGCGGTGTGCCATTAGAATTAATGGCACCCACCCCGCAGGTCCTCATTCCTCTGTGCGGGTGGTGCGGCTGCACGGATTTTCATGCGGATCCGCAGCGGCACCACCCGCACACATGTGAACCAAGCCTACATCATGAAATACCTGCACCTTCTAATATTTTACAGGTTTTTCAGAATTACCTTTTGATTTGGACGACTTTACCGGTAACCCTGTGTGTCGCATCCCGAAATAAATCCTCTCGATATAATTGCTGTTATCCAAGCTCCCTGTTGATTCCTTTTCCACGCCGAGATCTACAAAACTATTTGCTACTTCAGATGAATCTCGCCGCACAAGTAAACTCCTAGGAGGCGGAAAATTCACAAAACAACCATTGAGGATAAAAAGCTCAAATATCTGCCGAGTCGCCCTCACCAGACAACGCTGCGCACTTTCTGTATTTATGTCATAAATCCTTCATTTGATAATAGAGAAAGTCTGTGTGTGAGAACGTGACACCAAACTTTCCGTGTGTGCAAAGTCCTCCTATACACACACATTGTTCCAAAAGTTTATTCTTTGGTCCTGAGGATTCCCCCCCTTACTGACCAGGCCATTTTTTGCGATACTGCGTTACTTTAACCACTTGCCGCCCTGCCATTGCATATATACGTGTGCAGGGCGGCACTGGGGCGCAAAAAACGTTTTTTTAAAATGGGCTCCGCGCTCCCAACGTTTTTCGTGGGCAGGGGGCGGCGCGCGTGCGCGCGCTCCCGCCGACCTGCGGGTGACACCATTTGATCCCAGAGGGATCAATCATTCGATTTCAGCCAGTGATGTCTGGCTGAAATCAGATGATCGGTCCCTGTCCTATCCTGTGCTGTGTTGACAGTTACACAGGACAGGATATGATGTCATTCTTCTCTGCCTGGACACATTCCATCCCAGAGAGAGAAGAAGACATACAAATTGTGAGTAAAACAGCACATACCCACAGTTAGAACACTCTAGGACACACCCCCTGATCGTCCCCCCCCCCCCCCCCCCCCCCCCCCCCCCCCCGCCCCCCTCCCCCCCCCCAGTTAACCCCTTCACTGCCCTGTCACCAGTGTCACTGATCAGTGAACCGAGTTTTACTGATCACTGTATCAGTGTCGCTGGCGACTTCCGATAGTGTTAGCGCCCCTCCCAGATAGCGCCAGATTGCCCGCCAGTACACCAGTAGTCCCATTTAACCCCTTAATCTCCCCCCCCCCCCAGTTAACCCCTTCACTGCCCTGTCACCAGTGTCACTGATCAGTGAACCGATTTTTTACTGATCACTGTATCAGTGTCGCTGGCGACTTCCGATAGTGTTAACGCCCTTCCCAGATAGCGCCAGATTGCCCGCTAATACACCAGTAATCCCATTTAACCCTTTGATCGACACCCCCCCCCCCCCCCCCCCGACCCCTTCAATGCCCTGTCACCAGTGTCACTGATCAGTGAACCGATTTTTACTGATCACTGTATCAGTGTCGCTGGCGACTTCCGATAGTGTTAGCGCCCCTCCCAGATATAGCGCCAGTTTGCCCGCCAGTACACCAGTAATCCCATTTAACCCCTTGATCACCGCCCCCCCCCCCCCCCCCAGTTAACCCCTTCACTGCCCTGTCACCAGTGTCACTGATCAGTGAACAGATTTTTACTGATCACTGTATTAGTGTCACTGGTGACTTCCGATAGTGTTAGCGCCCCTCCCAGATAGCGCCAGTTTGCCCGCTAATGCACGGGATTTTTTTTTACCAAAAACATGGAGCAGAATACATTTTGGCTTAAATTTATGACTAACTTTGAGTTTACGATATATTTTTTATAGCTGAAAGTAAAAAATATTTTTTTTCAAAATGTTCGTTTTTTTTTTGTTTATAGCGCAAAAAATAAAAAGCGCACAGGTGATAAAATACCATCAAAAGAAAGCTCTATTTGTGTGAAGAAAAAGGACGTAAATTTTGTTTGGGTGCAGCATTGCATGACCGCGCAATCATCATTTGAATTAGTGCAGCGCTGTATAGCAAAAAAAGGCCTGTGTCATTAAGGGGGGGGGGGTTAAATCCTCAGGAGCTCAAGTGGTTAACTGACAATTGTGCGGTCATACAAACATTGCACCCATATAAAATTTACGTCCTTTTATCCCCACAAATTGAGCTTTCTTTTGGTGGTATTTGATCTCCTGTGCGGTTTTTATTTATTGGGCTATAAGCAAAAAAAGACCGACAATTGTGAGAAAAAAAAAAAAACATTTTTTTACTTGTGCTGTTAGGCCTCATGTAGACGGGACACTTCTGAACAGAGGCGTCCCTAGGGTTGGTGTCACCCGGTGCGGTAACACTTGGTGACACCCCTCTGACGATAACCGCAGAACGGATCGGATCTGCGGATTGAGCATAATGGATCAGACTCCGCTCCATTATGCTCAATCCGCAGATCCCATCCATCCTGTGGGGATCATCGGCTTTCTTTACAACTTACCTTTTCTTGGAGCGGGTCCGGTGTCACCCCGTATATATATATAAACGGCTGGGACGGTGGCAGTGTAGGGTCAAGTGGCCGTTTATAAACGGCCTCCCTGCTTGTGCGCGCTCCCTGGAAGCGTGCATCACCGTGATCCGGTGCCTGCTCGAACACCGATCGTTGTACGGGACCTCTCTACAAGGTCCCAATCATGGGATCACCGATTGGCCAATCAGTGATCACATGTAGAGTAGTAAGCATGATGTCACTTCTGACATCATTGCTTACTACGTGTGAAATCTGTGAATGATCACAGAGATCACATGGTACAGGGCTATTTCACAACAGCCTTGTACCATGTGACAAGCTGTGACCAATCACAGCTCACACAGTATTTCTCAAGAATGCAGCCAGAGAGAAGGAGAAATGATTGATTTTACAGCCTTTATGGGTGTAATAGCAATCAGTGTAAAAAAAAAAAAAAGAAAATCTTCATCACCCCCCACAAGTAGTACAGTGTCACCATGGTAACACTCTACTGCTAGGGTGACAGTATGTAAAAAAAAAAATAAAAATAATAATAATAATAATAATAATATAAAAAAAATAAAATACAAATGTAAAAAGAAATTATAATTTTTGGTTATAAACTAATTTGGGTTATTTTTTTTTTTTTTTTTACTAGAAAGATAACGGAATACATTTTGGCCGGGATTTATAATGAAATATTATTTGCAAAATTTTATGAGGAACACTTTTTTTTCAAAATGTTTGGACTTTTTCATTTATATAGCAAAATAAAAATCCCAGTGGTGAATAAATACCACCAAAATAAAGCTTTATCTGTCTCAAAAAAAAATAAAGCTGCTAAAAAATTTCATATGGGTACAGTGTTGCATGACCGCGCAATTGTCATTCAAAGTGTGATAGCGCTGAAAGCTTTGGCCTGGGGACAGGAAGGGGGTGAAAGTGTCCGGACTGGAAGAGGGTGAAAGTGTCCGGACTGGAAGGGGGGGGAAAGTGTCCGGACTGGAGGGGGGAAAGTGTCCGGACTGGAAGGGGGGGGAAAGTGTCCGGACTGGAAGGGGGGGGAAAGTGTCCGGACTGGAAGAGGGGGGAAAGTGTCCGGACTGGAAGGGGGGGAAAGTGTCCGGACTGGAAAGGGGGGAAAGTGTCCGGACTGGAAGGGGGGGAAAGTGTCCGGACTGGAAGGGGGGGAAAGTGTCCGACTGGAAGGGGGGGGAAAGTGTCCGGACTGGAAGGGGTGGGAAAGTGTCCGGACTGGAAGGGGGGAAAGTGTCCAGACTGGAAGGGGGGGAAAGTGTCCGGACTGGAAGGGGGGAAAGTGTCCCGGACTGGAAGGGGGGGAAAGTGTCCGGACTGGAAGGGGGGGGGGGAAAGTGTCCGGACTGGAAGGGGGGGAAAGTGTCCGGACTGGAAGTGGATTGGAAGACCCCCCCCCCCCCCCCCCGACAGTCCATTTACGGGGTCCACCAGGTCACAGCCGTCAGAGTGTAATTGGTTTTTTTTTCACCCGTGTACGATGGACCCTTTTAAAAATAAATAAAAAATATGTCACTTTATCCGAACGAATCCAGCTGATCCCCCCCGTCAGGACTCACAGTGGGGGCAGTCTTCCAGCTGACCAAAGTATACAGCATATCTTAGACTTTAAATATTTGATACGCAGTTTTAAAGCTTGGCTGCCACTTCCAGAATGTTTCGGTGATATTTGATTTGTCTGCGGTATAATTACTTCCTAAAAGCTTTTGCTTCCAGCGGAAACTACGTGGGCAGAGAGGCGGAACGCAGGCGTCATGCTGCTGGTGACATCTTGCTGTTAGTTTGTCCGCCTCGCCGAGCGGATCATCACAATCTACCCTGCGCTGGGTGAGCCAGTAATAGGTTCCTTTTGGCATGGAGCTCCAATTCCCTGGACATCACCGAATGGGACTTCAGTTGGGGGGGGGGGGGCACAGATGATTATAGGCGGAGTTACACTTTTCCCTAAAGGGCTCTTTACACAGACGTTCCGATTGGGTCCGCCTGCCCGTTTTTTCAGACGGACCCGATCGGAAGCTCCATTCTCTTCTATGGACGTGTGTCCGTTTACACCCGCCAACATCTGATCCGATCTGCCAAAAAAGGGACGGATGGGGATCCAATTCCATTCGTCGGATCGGATGAAACTGGACAGGCGGTCCATTTTTATCCAACCGTCCAATGAGGAGAGGGAGCAGCTCTGTGTCTGCTCTACAGCAACGGAGCAGACACAGAGCTGTCAGCAGAGAGATGGTCCGTTGCGCTCCCCCCTCCCCCCCCCCCTCCTTACATACATATATATTGTACATTCATATCAGTCCCTAACCCTCAAGGGGCGTACAATCTAAGGTCCCT